TTTCTCATTCAGCCATAAAAATATTTAAAACATAATAGCGATATAGAAGCTATCAATAAAAGAGATCAATAGTACGAGGTACCGCTACATCTTTCGTAGCTCGAATCTCTTTGAAGGCTAAGGCGGAATAATTGAGACACGAGGCTTCGTTCTTTGACGATACGCGGCTCCTCTATCTTCATTTCACATTTTTGCTTCGAAAGTTATGACTGGGAAAATTGAAAGAACCCATAATTCACTGTTGAAGTAGCTCTTAATTGTGCATTATTGGGAGTATTTATATAATGAATAAGGGCGAGTTATATCATGATAGCTCATCTCATTAATTTGATTTGTGGTATCTGTGAACTCAGAATTGATACGAGTTGATATACCTACAAATCATCAAAAAAGTATTAAGTCATAATAATTGTACTCAATAATAATACCGTATATAAGCAGGCTAACCGGCAATGTGCTCGAGACAGCTTCACTTGGTAACAGGTTGGCCCCGTCAATTGCCATGAAATCAGAGCGTTCGGTCCTTGGATCTCTTTACGGAGCATTCTTCCTTTCAACGCACATCAATCAAATAAGGTCGACCACGAGTTCCAAGATTTGATTCACTCAACTATTTTTAAATAAAAATATGAAGAACACGCGAAATTTTAGCGGCTTTATGAGGCATTCTTCAAATTCTAGAAACAACGCAGGAATGCAGACAGAAATTGCCGGAGCGCCCTGCTAATCAAATGAATCAATGTGATGGAGGTGTCTTAGATTTTAATCCATTGGTTGCTTGAACAATAGTTAAGTTGTAAATAAGTCAACTGTCTTCTGAGTTATAAGTATAGGCGGCATTATGTGTGCTGAAATGCATTTAGGACGTTTCATGATCTAGATCCGTTCCGGTTGCTGTTCAGCAACGTAGCCGTGATATAGTGATGATCTATATCATTTTTAGTCGCCGATGAGGTTTCAAGATATTTGTTCCCATGCATGGCGACTAATTTCCTAGTCAATAGTAAATTCGGAATGAGTGGATTTATGCGCTGATAATCTTCTCCATAAACTCAGTTCTTGATTATTCTTACTTACATTATGAGTCCGCTTAAATTGCAAGCTCACTAAGAATTTTCTTGCTTTTAAATTCTTAAGTATTCTTATATAATATATTTTCTGCCGAAACGGAAGCGCTTCGCTGGAAAGCCAATCGTTGATGATGCATGGTCGTGACTTGAATTATCTTGAGTCACATGATGTACAACACAAAACAACCATGTTTTAGCTTCATTATGATCATATAATTCGATGAAAGTCGTACATTTATCATCAGTTCTAAGGCCGTTATGCCGCCTATTTGTGCTCATTTCTTCTTGTGATATCGGAAGCAGGCTGCGTAACATGAAACTAATTTTGTGGTTTGTATCATTTTTGTCACTCCGACTCAGCGGCTGAGTTTCCAACTTGAGACAAGTGAACCTCCGACAAAAACCACCGCAGTCCTCGACAAAACCGCGTGTCTAATAAATAAGCCTAATGATCTAAGTTTCTATTCATCAAGCACTTAAAGTACCGCACCCCGGATTTTTTCTTGCCAAACTTGGGTGAGTTTTGAGTCTAAATGGAAGAAGAGGCCATTTTTATCATCATTTGAGGTGGGTTTTTGCGGGCCACGCGACCCTCGCTCGTATTTGGCTCTTGGCACGAGATCAAAAGCTCAGGCAGCGCGCGGGCGTCTCAAGCATCGTCCTCCGCGGCAGTTTCCGCAACGATGCTCCACTCTCGTGTACTGAGAAAAAATTGGCAACAAAATACCTGGATAAATGCACGCACTTGTACGTTTTTTTAGAAGCAGACGATAAAATTTATGGCATTGATGAAAATTTTCAATTCCTATTTTATTTCCTTTACACATATTGTCAATTACCTGCTTTCCAATAATAATTTCATACGCACAACGTAGCTCTCTAGTTTGTACATATGTTCGATTACATGCATTCCTCTTATGAAATGATCAATTGCTTTATCTTTCTTGTAGTTTTCGCAATTTTTCGTTCACATTTTAGAATTTTGAAAAAGAAAGATTACAAATTCAGAATTCATCGTATCAGAGGACTCATGCACTCCAACCAATGACAATAAGGCTGAAACATACTGTTGACTATTGAAAGCCCTTCTATTAGATTTTAACATTCCGAAACTTTTAAAGTTAGCATTTAATTGCAGAAATACGTGTCCGAGAATCACGTTTTTTGCGTTTAGACTTTTTAAAATTCTTTCTATTCGATTAGCTGGAAAATAATTGAGACAGTACTCACTGCAGTGAGTGACAGAGCGCGCATTTTCTCAGACAGACAGACGGACGGACGGAATGACGGACAGACGTACGGACATGACGAGCACAATAGCACCTTTTTTTCCATAAATGAGAAAATGCGCTAAAAATAAGAAAAAAATAAAAAATTGTGCAGAATCTGCATTCTGGCAATTTATTTAATAGGGTTTTAGAATGAAGAAGGTTTTGTAGTTATTAAACGCGATGGGATTATTTTGGAGATCGTTATCACATTGCATTATATTCTAGGTTCAAAATACAATAGGATATGCAGGTATAATTTGGTCAGGCTGGAAAACTTTGCGAAGACAGGTTTCAGGCTGAAAACTGTATGCTGCTGGAAATGAAATTTTCGAAGCTGTTCTTCGGAGAAGATAATATTTTTTATCAAAAAATTTTTTGCCTTAGAAAAATAATCGCTTAATTTAGCTCTTCTTTTATAAATAAATTTTCTGTACGAACGACATTCCTCATCGAGAATTTCATAAAAAAAATCTTTAATCATATCCTGCCAGAAACTTGGTAGCAGTTTCAACGAGAACTTATGGCGACATGCCATTAGAATCTGGTTTTGTCAACAATATTTAGACCGCTTGTATTTAATAATGCCTCTGACGCAGCTTGTTATTTCAAAAGCAAATATCATTTAGCAAATTAACATTGCCCAAAAACGCTAACTGGCTCTGAAGCAAGGCATGAGAGCTGGGCGACATCGAGTCGTGGGGTTGTTACTGAAGTAACGCTTTGCGGTCGAATATCTTTTAGTAACTCTCAGGTAACAAAAATGAGTGACTGGATTAACTCTCATGTCACACAAATGAGTGATACCAAGTAACCCACTAGTTACCAGAATGAGTGACGTGAGTTAATGTCATCATGAGTGATCTTTCATGGTAACCTGGCTAAGTATCAACAAATATTTTGATCTCAAAAAGTAATACAGTTTACCGTAGCAATCCTAACAATCATAACGGGTTTTTACAGGTTTATTTTAATGCAGGTTGCTTAAAAAATCCGGGCGTCTCGCAAGGATTCAAGGGTTCGTTGTTTCTTCACTAATAAAATAAGTATCAAATCATTCATTCATAATTTCAATTGTCGAAACCTATCATTTAATTGCAAGGGGCGACTCGCTGTACAACTTGAAATGCACGTTAAGTGTACGCTAAAATTACTACTACTTTTTCCTAAATTAGAAACTGTTATTTAAGTTTAAGTATTAAAATTATTGAACATTCCAGGGTGATACTAACACGTATTTCTTCATCTGCCTTAAGGAAAATATTAATATGACGTTTTCTGCCTAAAAATTCAAAGTGCTGCTGGGTCAGATATTTATCTAAAAATGAATTTGTTCCATAAATGCGGTTGATTTGTTTAGTAAATCGCAAGATATCTAAATTGTGTAAATACAGGACTGTTTTCCTTTCTATTCTACCTTTATTCTAGATATTTTTGATGTTGCAGTACGCGCGTTGCTAAAATGTAGTTACTAGACTAAAACATTACGTCAATTGATGCGCCCACGTACGCGATGGCGATTACAGAGATCACTAAACATCTATAATTATTTTCCACGCTGCTTTACGCTTATTATAATATAATAGTTCTAATGTTTTGCTAAGTTTCTTGTACACAATAGAAACAAAAATGTCTTGCGCCTAGAAGTTGAACAAGTTCTACCCAAGCCAATAATGACCAGACTCGAAGATTTCTAATCATTGTTCCTATTCACGAAGACCAAAGCAAGACATTCTATGGGAAATGAGTTGCAATAAAGTCGATATTTTATCAGTCGTTGAAATCACAAAAAGATTGGGAAGCGAACATAACGGAGAAACCCCCATAAAAAATTTCACCGCTTCTGCGACCACAAACAAAGATTCGGTATTCAAAGCTTCTGCTATTTTTTTATTCTTCGGCGCAGTTTGTCTTAGGGGAAAATTTTTGAAAGTGATTGCCTGGAACTTGTGAAGAGAATGGGCACATAAAGTGGTTCTCGTGACCGCAATAGGATTAATGGACGCCATAAAAACACTTTACGAGATTCCATTCACTGCCTCATCCAAAAATACCGGAATGATTCAAGTGAGGGAAACTTTAGGAATTTCTGCGGGAAAAATACCTCAGAGGTACCTTTCCAATGGCCCTTTTGGTAAACAACCTGAAAATGAGGGCGGGATTTGACCCCTGCACTAGCTTGTCACATCACTTGACCCTCATTTAACCCTCACTTGACTCTCGAAAGCTCTTGTCTAAACCAATCAAATGATAGTGTTTGACAGAAGGCTAAGCCTTTTGCAGCTCAGAACCAATAAGGAGCTAGCAATCCAAATTCCAGACTCCAGTCAGGCCAATACCGTGCCAGAATCCCAGTCATTTACCTCACTTCCCTCACCGCGCCGCGAGTCTCGACCAATCCCCTCGCGTGGATGCATCAGGAACAGACCAATGCGAGTTCACGAAAGGCTCGCCGAGGTCCGAGATTAATGAGTGTCTGCTATCAGATAAGATTGTCTGAAATTAATAGTAAACATGCCATTATATCGGCGCGCTGCAGCTCCATTATTGTTTCTGGCTCTTGAAACGTTTTGCCGGCGACTGCTTCTGGCGTACTGCAATGCTACTGCGTCGAGTGACGACTTCTTGCAAGCAACATATAACACCTACGTGGCAGTCAGACCTGCGTCGGTGGCAGTCAGACCTGCGTCGGTGCTAGTCAAACCTGCGTTGGTGGCAGTCAGACCTGCGTTGGTGGCAGTCAAACCTGCGTTGGTGGCAGTCAAACCTGCGTTGGTGGCAGTCAGACCTGCGTTGGTGGCTGCCAAACCTGCGTTGGTGGCAGTCAGACCTGCGTTGGTGGCTGCCAAACCTGCGTTGGTGGCAGTCAGACCTGCGGTGGTGGCAGTCAGACCTGCGCTGGTGGCAGTCAAACCTGCGCTGGTGGCAGTCAGACCTGCGGTGGTGGCAGTCAGACCTGCGGTGGTGGCAGTCAGACCAATAATATCATCTTAATGTTTCTCTGATAAAAAATAATTCTTCTCGCCATGAATACTGATTAACAAAATACTTGAAATATTATTTACATGAACATATCAGCATATGTGTTATAGACGTTCCCGTGAACTCTAACGCATAAAATTGAATCTTCCTGATCACGATTCGCGAAGAAAATTAAAAAAAGAAAAACTTGTCATCGATTTAATTTCTCAAATTTATTAATTAACATAATTAGAAATTTTTTAGAACACATCTTCTTCACGCTATTCTACTAAATGATTAGTTATCATTATTTAATTATATTATGCAGTGTCATGAAAATTCGCCAGAAAATATCTATACGAGAATCATAGGCAGCAAAACAAACAAATGTATGGTTGCAGCTCTGGGAAATGTATTGAACATAAGTACTGAAAGAACTTGCAATGAAGTATGCCTACCAAACGTCCACGTGTCTGAACACTAGAACAGTAAATTTATGAGCGAAGAAAGGGCCAAAAAGTTCATTATAATTCAATTGAAAACATTTCGTACATCAGAATTATCATCAGTTTGAACTTCATTGATGCAATTATAACCAACAAAAAGCATGATTAATTTAAATGGAGGAGATTAAAACACTAAATGACCTGATAAACTTTACAAATGATGTGAAGTATATTTGATTGACTATTTTGATTGGATAAAAACTATGTAATCCTTATTACAAATGGGTTTCAACTTGTATGGCACCAGAATGTAAATAAGTGCTATAGTAAAGTCATCATCAGAGTTGAAGGTTTTCATGAGAAGTTAACTCTACGGAAAGTCAACTCAGGGTTCGAGTTACTCGGACGCATGCTGAAGTCTGGTGACGCTTGCATTAGTTTATAAAAAAGGTCTTTAGAAATCTTGATACAGTGAATTTTCGCGACACAATAGCATTGGTTAGCTTTGAGAACGCAAGTTGTTGTGGAGAAGCTGAAGTGATTTTAAATCTACCGTCCGTTGAAAAGATCTGATCAAAAGGCCAGTCTAGTCAAGAAAAGTACAAGAATCGGCGACAGGCCTATCCAGGCCTATTCTTTAATGCCGAAGATACTATACTATTATACTATACTATACTAAGTGAGTGCACACTCCACGCTTCTCTTACGCGCATTTTCTCATTTATGAAAAAATGCACTATTGTGCTCGCCATGTCCGTCTGTCTGTCCGTCTGTCTGTCCGTCCGTGATTTCTAGTTTTCGTCGACGAGAATATGCGCTCTCTGTCAGTCACTGCAGTGAGTACTGAGTTATATTTTCTGCCCTATTGTTTAATTAAATAACTATATGCCAGCAATGATTTCTAACAAAGCTGTTGAAAATTTGAATCGATTTATTTCTCGAAAAGTTTTGTTCTTCGAAAAAAACTTTAGACCAGTTAAAAAAAAAACAAGTGAGTTATTCATACAAGATGGCTGTACGGTTTGTTTAACACCGTTGAACTTGGGTACTTAATTTGAATTGAACATTAAATTGGAATGTTTGACTGCTTTTAACTCATACTTCCGCTCCAGGAGGTCAAGTCAAGAATATAACGAGCTCAGTGATTGTTTTGGGGTGGGTTTTACAATATATACGGGACTAGCTAAAGTCCAGGGTTTGGTTATACACTATAAATGTGACTATGTATCCTGATCACTCGGTATCAGTAATACTCTGCTACACCTTCATTACCAACATGAGCACTGTGAAGGACTTCAAAAACATCTAACGAAGCTACTTATGGGAATACTGAGTAACGCATGTTACTCAGCGCTGACTGCGCATTACTATGCACACGCACGTTACTCAGCGCTGACTGCGCATTACTATGCACACCCACGTTACTCAGCGCTGACTGCGCATTACTATGCACATGAGGACGAACCGTGCATCCTGTAGCCGCTATGAGGCGTCCTGCTAATTATCCTTACAATAGAAGACCAGCTCCATGTCTCCTCCTCTGCAGGCGCTTTAGAAATCCCCTTCCATTTTATTAGGCCGAGCTTCCGAACGCCGCGTTTCATCTTCGTTAGGAGCAAAAATGTCATCTGAATTAAGGTTTTGGTCTCTAAAAATTCTGCATTAAATCCAAATTATGATTTCGGTTCCAAAGGCTACTTTTCCGTGTCTTAAAAATAAATAATCTTCATCAATAACGAACAATAGATCAACGATCCTGATAATAAGTTAAGCAAGATTATCTACACGCTTATCTCAAGGTCGTCTTTATTAAAAACCATCAGCTTAAACCAATAAAATCTTTAATGCGCTCGGGGGGGATTCTGATAAAGTATATAAAATATTGAAATTCGTAATCGTCGTTCATTTCCAGGTATGTCATAAGAAATTAAATTTTATTTGATGGCAGCGTCAGCGCATAACAAATTTTCCTGCAAAAAAATCAAATCAATTTTATAAAGTCTTTTAACAGGAATTAATCATAAAATAGATATTGCTTAAATATTTGTGCGGAAATTCAAACCATAAACGGTTTGCACATTTGTACACTAAATTGCATAGTTATTTAGAACTAGTGGACACCAGATCCACATTACAAAAAGTAACGTGATTCAACACTAGCATGGGCTCGATAAGGCAGCGTAACGCCTTTAACGTTTCCTGTTGTTCCGAAAAATTTGCCCTGTAAGCTCGCCATTGCCTGCAATGGCCTGCCATTTTTGGCGGCTGCGTCGGCATTTGCGTGGAATTTTAGAGCAGACGTCGCTGTGAAGCTTAACAATCACTTTCTTTAAATTCTAGCAGCTTATTTGACTGCCTGGTAATTGTGCCGACATATGAGATCAGGCATGTGACCTGGCATGTTGGTGAATCAAGCTATGCTATCAGCATGTGACCTGGCATGTTGGTGAATCAAGCTATGCTATCAGCATGTGACCTGGCATGTTGGTGAATCAAGCTATGCTATCAGTGCAAGTAAATGCAAGCAATCAAAGAACTTTTGTTAACAACTAACTAATTTACAGGATGATTTCAATTTAAATGGCCTTTATATTCGTACACTATTGTCAACTTAGTGTCACTTAAAACTATACTTAATCTTAATGAATTAAAATTTAACTTTATCTGCATGCCAATGTTCAATATTGAAAAAATTAAACACGCGACCTCAAAGTTGTGTACAAATTTGCCATCGAAAAAACAAAACACGCAATCTTAACTTTTGCATCGAAAAGATCGTCAGCTTCGAAAGTTTTCATACAACTGCGTTTTCTGGAGCCTCGGTATCGCTGTTTCTATTGCCGCGTTTGTGTGACCGCAATTGGAGTTTTTTCCGAGGCGTGAGGGCAAGAGGGTAGCGAAGGGGCACCTCGGCAGGTCCTCATTTCCGAATCACATTTTAACAAATGACTTCTCATGAAATACGGCGCCTGGGCCCATAAAGCTGAGCGCATCGTTCACTTTTATGCTCAGCTGTTGCGAGCCCCAAACGCAACTCCACTTCCAGTCTGCTCACTCCCAGTCCCGGCTCATACCACGGGACTGCGACTGGTTCACTTCCACTCCCAGTTCATACCGCGGGGCTGCGACTGGTTCACTCCCACTCCCAGCTCATACCGCGGGGCTGTGACTGGTTCACTCCCACTCCCAGCTCATACCGCGGGGCTGCGACTGGTTCACTCCCACTCCCAGCTCATACCGCGGGGCTGCGACTGGTTCACTCCCACTCCCAGCTCATACCATGGGACTGCGACTGGTTCACTTCCATTTCCAGCTCATACCATGGGACTGCGACTGGTTCACTTCCATTTCCAGCTCATACCAGGCAGCTAGAAGCCTGGAACCTATCTTTCTCATCTCTGTTATATTTTAGCGATCAAGAGTATAATTCGGTTAACTTATTATATTACTGAACAAAACAGATGAACAGTGAAGCAAGAAATAAATCCCCTCCTGCTACTATGTTTTAAATTGCTTGTATCAACCCTGGTTTGATTGTGGCAATCTTGCCTTCAATCGTGCGCTTGGTCAATGGACTTATGCTGTAAAAATTGAGTCATAATTATTGATATTCTATATGTATTTGACTGTCGCTAGAATCATTTAAATGTTAGTTCGAAAAAATTAGCATTTTTGTTGCCGAAGGAGCTGCATTGAAAAGTATTTTTGTAACATGACTTTTTTCATGTTAATGATTTTTCTCGTCCAAATTATTTATTGAAGCGTAGACGTTAAAAACTACATTTATTTCAATGTTGATCAAAGCCATATTCTCCTGTAATTAGGACACTTATTGCTTATAAATTAATAATATATTAATTTTTTTGCCAAAAACAAAACTTTCAGTACAAATGGAAATTTCACAACCTCAACGTTTCAGATGCCGTTCACTACTTTCCCCATAAGCCTAAGATGTTCATGTTTTCCCGAGTGTTGGGGAGCGAGTTTGTTGTTAAGCCCCATTCACATTCACATAGCCCATTCACATTCACGGAGCCCATTTGGTTTGGGACAAACAAGTCATTCCGTTTGGTAAGCGGCGAGGTTTCGTAGCATTTCGCTTCCACGACATTTCTTAGCAGCATAACTGCAGCTAACGGACCAGCGCTACATGACGCTCTGTGAGGCGCATACTGAATAACTCCAGGCTCCAATGCACACGAAATGAGTTCACGAAGATCCCTAGTTTTTGTAAAATTTGTCTCCTAACTTTGCATAAATAATACGCATAAAAAATATAACTCGGTACTCACTGCAATGAGTGACAGAGAGCGCATTTTCACGTCTTTCAAGTCGCCAAAAACGTGAAGTCAGACAGACGGACAGACGGACGGGAGGACGGTCATGGCGAGCACAATAGCGCCTTTTTTCCATAAATGATAAAATGCGCTAAGAAGAAATAAGAATACGCTCATTACTCGTATACACGAAACACAATATGCAAATCAGTCTTCTAATTTTTTCAAGACCTCTCACGGAATAAAATTTTCCCCAGAACTCTAGGCTCCTGTTACCATAATTTATTGGCTGGGAGGCAGGGACTGAACTTCGTGCCGAAGGTTAGACATTTCCAGTTACACATCTCCCTCACTCTATGCAGAGCGCTGCAGTTTCACTCGCTTGCTTCCAGAGATCATGGTGCTCTGAAACTGAACAGTGATGCTCCATCTGGCAATCATGATTTCGATGGTGTTGCCAGTATTAGTGCAGCACTATTTTAGTGCTTGATCTTGATTCTCACGCAATTATCTCTACTTTAATTGACAGCTCCGCGATGATCGTTTTCGGATCCCTAAATGTGCATTCCAAGCTCCTTTAAAATTTGATCTTGATTGGATAACAAATTCATAATTTCACAATTACTCACCCCGGCTTCTTATAACATCACTTTATTTTCATGTTATTCCTTTTGTATCTGAGCATTCACCATCATATGAAAGATGGAATATATGTTCAAATCCACAAAGTTATGTATGCGAACTAACGTATTACTGTAGTAAGCTGATATATATAACTGCGTATTATGACATCGAGACTCTCATGATTACTGACAAGCGTTCATGAGATTGCAGCAGAGTTGCTTATAAAAAGTCATGAATAGGTAGAGAATATAGGTAGAGAATATAGGTAGAGAATATAGGTAGAGAATATAGGCAGAGAATATAGGTAGAGAATATAGGCAGAGAATATAGGCAGAGAATATAGGCAGAGAATATAGGTAGAGAATATATATAGGTAGAGAATATAGGTAGAGAATATAGGTAGAGAATTGCCACCGGCCAGATAACAGACCAAGTGAATCATGAAAGGAAATGAGCATCATTCCTTAATTCACATTGGAATTAAAATTTATTAATTTCCTAAGTTAAAGCCAGGTTAGCCCGTCATTGACAGGGAAACACAATTCCTGAAATTCAATTATATTGTTCTTCTAAATTATCTCATGGAATCCATCACAAATCCCGTCATCGCGAATCCAGTTATTAATTTTTATAATTAACATTAATCTCTCCCATTAGTTTCTCAGCTTGAAATTCAATTTAAACATATTTTTATTTCGGTAAAAAATGTATACGTGAAGTTAATTATCATTTTTACATTTTCGACGCACTCTCATCAATTCACGCACGACTATAAATATAGTCTGGGATCCCGTCACGGTTAAGTATTGCGTAATATTGTGTATGCGCGGTCGAATGGCCCTAGTTCTTTCGAGGCACATGCCGTCAGGCATTCAAAATCGTACAAATCTATCTTAAATTGAATGAATGTAATCTACAATAATTTTTCTGTCTAGAAATGATATACTGGATTATTCTGTATTCGAATCATATTCCTACGCTGCTTTGGAAAATTATTGCTGAAATGTATATTTATTCAACAACATTCTAGCATCAATTATCGACCAAATCATTTTACCCCACTGATCCAAGCATGGAAATGTCTATTAAATATCTTCTTGGGTCTGTTGGGTCTTATTTTGCCTGCTTAGATATTTCCTACAATGTTTCAGACAGGCATTTAAATTTTACTAGGTATATGTCAAACAACCTAACTCAAATACAAAAGTACCCCCATAATAAGGGAAGTTCCAGTAGAAAATGTTTCATATGGGTAACCATTTTAAGTTCTAGAAAAGATATCTGTATGCCTTTGCTGTTTCTACTTCTAACTTTTTAAGTGTAATGTGTAAGGATAAGCAATCACACATTATTTCGATAAAGAGTAAAAAATCTATTATGCACCATTCTCGATTTAAAAAGAACTTTACACTGATAAATCATAATAATATTATTTATGTAAATTTAACTGCAGTTTTTTCCGAAGAAAATTTTCCTAAATAATTGAAGTATTCAGTATATATCAATTACTACTGGAAGACATTGACTAAGCCGTTGAGGCCCGAGTTAACTTTTCAAATATCCACTTTTCAGTTATTGATCTAATTATACATTTAATTTTGTGAAAGTCCCCAGCATTACTGTGCCACCAAGAATTGAAGATAAGAAATAATATCTGCATGGCATTAAATATTCAAAATAGAGGAAATATACGAAAGATCAATATTCTATTATAACAACCAAGTGCACACACAAAAAAACGGTACATTGTGGACTCCTCGAACTGAACTGGCCCCTTAATTTCCCGTCGATGTTTTTGAAACTCAGTAGCTCTCAACTTTCTTCAGCAACGCCTCCAAAGAAAGGTCCTCGATACAGCAGTCGCTGTCACTTTCTTCGTCATGGTTTATCTGATATCGAGATTCTGACAGAAAATTGTTCTCCGGTAGCTGCTTCACTGTGCAGATCCACTGTTCTAACTCTCCAGCAGACTGTCTTGCGATCTGTAACAAATTATTGCAATTTATGTTGAATATAAATCGGCTGCAAAATATGCTTTTTCATCACATAGCATATCGGTAGAAGAAGTGTATTCTTGTCATCTCGACAGTCACTAGGACACTACAAATATTTAATTTTTTAGGCTTTACAAAGTTTTGTTTAAAAATGTAAATGTCACTTATAAGTTAAGTTGATTTGGATCTCATAAAGGATGCGCAACAGTCGGTCACACGTGAGCCTTATGAAGTGACTATGTCGTTACTGCAAAGCGCATTCGCTTGTGAAATGTGTTTGAACTTTTTCATTGATTGTACGCGACGATAAGAATTTACAAGTAAAATGATTTCTTTGTTTTTTTATACATGATATGATTCCAAAGTACTTATTGGAAATGTTGTCCAGAATCAAAGCTGGATTTGGTCATGTAACATATGCTTACTTTGAAACGCATTTGAAATTTAAATAGCTAAAAAATCCTAAAAAATCGAATGATTACCATACAAATTATTTTATCCACATGCATTGAATTGAATAGAATTAAAAAATAATAATAGCTCGAAATGTTATCCTGCAGGTTCGTGTACGGATTTGAGGAATTCGCTAAATTGGCATAATTTAATATTCCTTCCTTTTTCTGCACGTAAAGAAATGAATTGCACGTAAAGAAAGAAATTAAGAGATTTATTATTATTAACATGAATTAGGTTCAGTGTCAATTAATGACCAAATAACTTCTAAAATGCTTCAACTTAAAGAGACTGATCCACTGGTACGTTGATAGCTAATCTCTTAACAGTGATGATAACCACAGGTGCCACCTCACCTGACAAAGCTGCCCCTCGTGAGTCGATGCAGGTTCAAACTGCAGACAATAGGATGTGTCACGCAGCAGCTGCAGCACGTCTTGCAGCTGCCGTACAAACTCCCGTCTCGTCAGATGCTGAAGCTGAAATTCCTTGTTTGCTTTCATGAGCAGCGGTGCGTGCAGCTCATACTTCGTGAGGCCTGAAAAATATTTTAGATTGTTAAATTAATATAATTTATAATGAGTAATCGAAATCTTTTGAAGCCACGCCGAATTTAGTGGTCTATAAAGGATTAAAACTTTACTTGAAATTTTCCAACAAGTTTACAAATATTTTTTGAATAAGTACACTTCTAGGTGAAATTAATTACAAATATACTATTGAAATCCTAGGCTTATGATAGATGAAAACTTATCCAACTTGAAACTGCCGAAATGAGAATACATCCATGTAGATAATATATCTGGAGAAAAGAATACAAGAGGCCGAAGTTGAACCATGGATTACCTCTGAGTCTGGAAATGCCAGGATCGATGACATCGATCACGGCCAGCACGTGGCGACAACACTCAATTTTCCGGTCCATTTGCTTGTTCGAGAGCTCACTTATGAGGTAGCCTGGGCTCCTGCCGTACAGCTGAACAGATTACACTTTATTCAGATTAACTTTTCAACAATAAATGGCGTTCTTTAGGGCTACAGAAATCGAGAAATTATAACATATTTAGAGCTAAACAAACAAGTGGTCGTTTGAGATGAAACAGATGAATAGGACCTGCACTATGTAAAGATCCTGAATCTATATAATAAACACATTCAATATTTATTAGTATGATTTATATGTACGTGCAACAAAAAAAATACTTATTTGTATTGCTAGGCTTGAAAATTTTCGTTTTTTGAAGGATTCAATCACCTATAGTTAATGGAAACCAAAAAGGTATTCTACAATAGATTAAAATTAAAAAGCATTGCTTTCCAGAATAGTTTAATGAAGTCCTTCACAAATCGGGAACATTTCATCCGTTAAAGTGCCTGTTAGGACAAACCCACTAAATATGTTGATATGGCGTCTAAATTTAAGCAATTCCCGATACAAGCCAGTTGTTGGCCTATGTGAGACATTATGTTAAAGTTAAACGAATAATGTTAAGAAGCTATTCAAGTAAAAAATGCATGCAGTACAGAAGGTTTTCTCCCATATATGGTACCTGCGATAAGCTGTGCTCGAGACCAATAAGATGAAAGTGATTTCGATGGAAGAGTTTTTCGTACTTGTTGAAGATGGCCTCCAGAGCGGCTGGATCACCCGTATCTGCGTCTTGCAGCTCATAGTAAACGCTGTTAGTGAGTCTGCTCACAACGCCTACAGGCACCTGCAAGAATACAGTTCACTTTATATCTTGTGTTCTTGTCTAGTCGGTAAGAATTTTTTTCAAAATCATTTAGTACAAAGTAGACCAGGTGGCATACAATCTGCCGTAGAAACTTCTCCACTGTCGATCATCCAACGGTATTCAAGTCAATGTTAGGTCGGTATTTCTTTTTTCTTAACTATTTCATGAAATTTGCGTTACTGCGTTCATCGTGACCTCAAGTGTGTAACTTTTTAGCTAAACTTGATGCCACTTTTTATTCTATGGTGGTCCAGAAGGGGTACATTTTTACCGCCTTTATACAGTGCAGCGGTGCAGCCACTGCACTGTATACCACACTCGGTGCACCTCGGTTACCTTTATACCACACTCGGTGCAGCGGTAGTCAGCCACTGCACGCACCTCATTACCACACTCGGTGCAGCGGTATGTGTTGTTGGGGTGCAGTGGGTCCTTACAAAGCACGGGGCCACCGCATTGGGTGCACCTCAAGGCGCTGAAGAAAGTCCCCAGTTCGGTGGGGTCGCTGCAGCGCCGACACACGCAGTCGAAAAACTTGCCGTAGCGCAGATGCTTGCGGCGCTCCGTCGTGCCGGATAACAAATGGGTATACGTCGCTAGAGCAAGAATATTCTATATTACTTCAAAGAACTGAGTTGTCCCATCCTGAACATGTTCTACAAAGAAATTTTCCTACCGCCAGAAAAAGATTTGAAAGGTATATTTGATGAAAATGATTTAAAACCAGAAGACACTTTCTATAACATGTTTACAGTTATAGAAATTAATCCAGGAAAAACGAAATCGAAATTTATGAAAACAGAGATCTTTTGTCTTAGTTCCCATATAATTCAAATGCTTAGGGAATTGTGTTCTCGAACAACTTGGATAGGAAAAAGTTGCTTTTCACAACCTCACCTGTAACTTGTTCGCCTTTCTTGATGGGTCTAGAAGTAACCATGATCATGGTCATGTCATCAGTGAAGGTGTGATGCGTGTTGGAGTAACAGTCGTGCGACATCATCGCACTCAGCGGGAACAATCCTCGTACGTTGCAAATATCTGGTGCACCTGCACGTGTCATTTGCATTTGTTTCGAATTTCAGACGATCATAAACACGGAACATAGTACGTCATTCATTCGAGATAAACTCTGTTGCTATGTCAATTCCAAGTTATCCAAGGTCAGGAGGATGGGAGAGTAGGGGAATCTCATAGTGGAAATACTTTATAATGAATCAAACACTTGATGTCAGCTAGAGTTACCCTAAAGATTTGACTTTTGTAAATAGTTTAAGCTTTACAAATCATATTGCAATACCGTCATATATTTTGTAACACACAATTTGTGTTTGGGCAAATACACAGAGTAATTCAGAACTATCAAATCCATGTTTTTATTTGATTGAATTTTAGATGCAATGGAGCTCCATATACCCTGCATCGCTGCTCACCCGCCTGGATCTCGTGACAGTTGACATCGAGGACGCCAGTCACGCTGTGGATGAGGTCGTCACTCACGCTCATCTTCAACTTCTTCACTAGAAACTCGCATACATTTTTCTGTGAATGACATCAGACAATCTTGACAATTTACTTTGTGAAGACACATAAAAATGTCAATTACAAATAGCCACATTCATAAATGAATAACCGTAATCCATTAATTATTAAGGGTCATCAAAACATGTATGTTCTGTCCCATTTGCTTTCTTCAAAAATATTAATTTAAAAAGTAAAGCTACAATGGTCAATAAAATTTATTCTTATAATAAGTTCTGACTAACTGCACGTAAAATGTGATTATTGTGTCGGTTCTATATCGGTTCTAGTATATAAGACAGAAGTGAGCTCTAGCTTTAGAAGCGAATTTACGTCAAACTTTTCTTAGACTCCACCAGATTCCATGCAAGATAGAACGGTTATTCAACTCCAGCTTAGCATATTACGACTAATTCTTCAGGCTAAAAGAGAAAACAGTTTATAGTGCTTCGATAATAAATGATAAATGCTTATCGGGCTTTAATTTACGTCTGTTTATACATGTATGGAGACACAACCTCACAAGAATCCTTGTTTTCGCTGCTATTGAAGCTCCTTGTAAGCCCACTCCATGTCGTTTTCTTTGCTTTTAAATTATTGGTGAACTTGCGAACTAAGTAGACTGATTATCTAATTACTAACTAAAGCACGTTTACCTGCTCAACGTTCCAGAGTTCGGACCCTCGTCTCGGTTCGTCGTGGGCCTCCATGGCCCTCAGAGTCTTCCACTTCTCAGGGCAAGTGTTCCTGAGCATGAGGCAGCGCAGAGGCAGGATGCTCTCGTACAAGGGATTTTCTTCGCCAAAATCCGCCAAGTTCAACTTGTAATTTGCGCTTACAAAAGCGGAGCACTCCAAATGATGCAAGCCTTTCAGCTCGCACTCGGTGCTGCAGAGCGGCCAACGGCATCTGTTGGACCCGATTCAAATGAAATGAATGTTTTAGCTATCATTATATTTTCAGGTATCATCCAATTGTCTTATTGACCAGTTAAATCAATCCTTTCTGATGATATTTCTTTGCATCAAACCACTTTCCCATTGGAAAATTACCCTGAATTTGCTAGACAAAAATCTCTGTAAAAAGTAACAGCACGTTGATTGAAAAATCTTTCTGGACTTCTTCTTGAAGAACTTCGTGTTAACGCTTCACAGCTCAAGCATGGTGGCTGGAAAGAATTTTGTTTGCCACATTTAAAGAAATTTATGATACTTGAAGTGGTTTATTATTAATATTCGACCAAATTTTATGATTACCAGCCATTCAACATTTCTTCCCAGAAAACCGTGCTTCAACCTCTGCTATACTATTGGACAAGCGTTTGCTACAACTCAGCTTTCATTCTTTTACGAAGATGGAAGCAATCGATCAGGAATTTGTTAAATTATGGCATTACATAGAATAAAAAAAGCGTCTAAACTAACAGCTGCACAACTCTTTGCCTCGCCAAGCCTTGTCATGTAATGCAAGATAGCACTGAAAACAAAATCAAAAATATATTACATGATCAAAAGTAGGAGCTTAAAATGAATTAATACACTTCATGGATGCCCCAGTCAACCTTAAGTAAATTGGATATCGACCGCATCACGAGTTTAGAAGTACGGCGCTGACTTGGAACATGGATGGTAGGCTTCCTGGTAGAGCTGGCTGTAGCAGCCGAGACAGAGCAGCGCGCTTATCTGCTTGGGGCCGTGGACAAGTGGATGGTCAGCGTACAGACGCTCCCCCTCCCCGATATCTTCTTTTGCAACGATGCATCTGCATCAGAATAGCTTTGTTATTGGCTCTAATAGCTTTATGACTTATTGCAAGCTTCGATTAAGAGCCTGACGAGAGTTAAGTGTGAGATGATGAGGTGAAAAATAAATTTTTGACACAGGTTCTTGTATATTTAGTGAGGTAGAAAAAGAAAATACAGAGAGAAGTTTAAGGCAAATAATGAATGGCTGAAAGGACGTTTATTTTGCGTGAAATAGACAAATATAACTGCATCATCGAAGGAAATGGTAACAAATGCATTCTGATTAAATTGAGACCTTTGAAACTCTCTTTAAATACAGTAGCAGGTCTAATGGCTACATAATAATTATAAAAGTAAAACAATTCTGAAGCCACATGTATTTTGACATGAATTATATTAGTAGTCAGCTTATGTTGTGAACACTCCAAATTTTTGACCGTAAAAGAAATTCATAGCCAATGACTACAATTACCGAAATTTGTTAATTTTCAATTTGAAACGCCATGCGAAATTACATCAACTGATGCAAGAACATTTTAAATGCTTCTGTCATCTGCCCTAAAACGAGAACATCTAGCCCTTTGTTTCCAGTTGCAGCTGTGGATGTTGATGAATTCTCGCTTTGACTTACAATTATGAGCATCCGGAAAGAGATGATATAAGTTTTATATCAACCCTCACTACGAGTAGTACACCTGACAAGACTCTCAGTAATATGACTGAGAAGACTATGAGATATACACTTGAAAAAAACTCTGATTAGTATACCTGACAAGACTATGAGGAGCATGCCTGACAAAACCATGACTAGGTGAGTACCTGCCAACACCTGACAAGACTATGAGTAGCATGCCTGACAAAACCTTGAACAGGTGAGTACCTGCCAACACCTGACAAGACTATGAGTAGCATGCCTGACAAAACCCTGAATAAGTGAGTACCTGCCAACACCTGACAAGACTATGAGGAGCATGCCTGACAAAACCTTGAATAGGAGAGTACCTGCCAACTCCTGACAAGACTATGAGTAGCATGCCTGGCAAAACCTTGAATAGGAGAGTACCTGCCAAAAGGTTCCTTGTACGCTATCTCCCACTTCTCGCTTCCGTATTTCGGAAGATGGGCGAGCGCGTGCGGAGGAATGACAGTCTGTTGATAGGAGAGCCGTATTACATGGTGTGTCGCTAAACTTACATCACGTAACAATATTTTGAATGCTTTACCAAGCTTACTCTAGTAGTACATGTGGATGATTATTCAATTTTATATGATTAAGTTCTTAAATACTTTCTTCTTCAAAGTTACAAAATATAGTTCCGGGTAAACATGCCCGTTTAATATGAATAGAAAATTAATTAAATGACTGAATAAAAATCATTAAAAATGTTAGAAATTATAGGTTTCTATATTTTTGGTAAACATGCCCGTTTAATATGAATAGAAAATTAATCAAATGGCAGAATTTAAATCATTAAAAATGGTAAAAATTACAAGTTTCTCTGTTTCTGGTCTCTTGATTGCAGAATATCTTCCTGCGGCAGACACTCACCTGGATATACTCGTACCATTCATGAAAGATCTTGTCGGTTATCTCGTTAGAATGCGACATTTTGCGGGCAGTTTTGCCGAGACTGTCTCAGCGAAAACAACTGTTATAAAAACACAAAGAAAAACAACACAAAATGAGACTGCAAACATTAACAAATGCATACGAGCTGGAGATGTGACAAGGAATGAGAGGCTATAAAACTACAATATTATTAGAATAAAAGGCATAACTGATTTTAAAATAGGGGAATAGTTTAAAGAATTCAGAACGAAATTTGCAAAATTTCAGGAGCATAATAAGTAAATATTTAAAGCTACACCGAATTCCATAAAAAAATTAAGCAATTCCTGAGAGCAACTAAGAATTTCTTTGAAGAGAGTGAAGAATATGGTTAAAACTTTGAAAACTCTTTAGTGAATTTGGAAAGTTCATCCATAAGATTTATGATTATTCCAATAACATGATACCCGGAGACGCCCACGAAAATGAATGATTTGAGAGGTTCCAAAAAAATATTCCTGGACTCAATATATTTTAAGATCGGGTAGCTATTAAATTCCGCTGTTGTTCAGAGAAGATCCTTTTGAGTTAATTCAGAATTACTCGTTCCAGGGATGATAAATCTTGGGAGTGGGCAACGTTTTAATATTTATTATCTGTAGGGTTAATTCAGACTAAATAAGTGCTAGCTGTAATAAATGAGAATACATCAACGTTTCACATTTCTATCTTAAGACACAGAGTGAAGTAAGAAAACGTACAAATCTAATAAAGTTAAAAAAATGGATGTTGGGTTGATGAAAAAAAATAATCTTGATTATTAAATGAAACTCTGACAACGAGTCATCGTGGAGAAATTAAATTCTAACCATGTGCAAACGATCATTATTAACATCGTGTTACAAAGCGGCATCGAAAATAACATTTTTTATTCACAACATCAATAGCTTCCCTTGTAGAACTTTTAAAACATCTAGGCACGGTAGCATACATTATATACAGAGACGCTGAACCCTTCACAACCTGAGCGGACAATTGCCCGCAGTTTCTTGGCCATTCCAACTTGCATTAAAATAAACCTGGTGGTGAAGGGTTATTACACAACCAAACTAAACATTGAATATAAAAATAGGGATGAGGGGAGGGAGGGCAAAACATAGGGGGATATTATAATGGGGAGAACTCGTCTATAAATAAGTTGGGTATAGTGGCGCTGTCATGTCTACCTTGTCTGTCTGGCTCCACGGCACCTCATCCATCGCTGGTATTTCCCTTGAATCTGTGAGAGGGGATGGCGAGAACAGTTGCAACATGAATTTTATTAATAATACCAAATTAAAAGATCGATGTGCAAAGAAATATAGTATGAAATAAGATGTATATATATGAGGGCCAACACAAAACAAATGCGGGACAGAGAAATATTTGACATCGACATAAATGTTACAATTTAGGTAGACCTCATAAAACAATATATAATTCCAACACACATTGATCAGTGAGGGACGAATTACCAGTAGGTGTCCATAAAATTTCTTCTATGGAAAGCAGCATCCCGAGAAAATTGTACTATTTTGGGGATTGTTTTATAGGAGGGGCGAGACAAGTAAAATGTCATGAATTTTACGGAATGCTGCATTGCGTGGAAGAAAGTTTACGTGCAAACTTGGGTGAACTTTGTAATTAATGTGAAAATTTTGTGTGTTGGGGAAGGGAAATTCATTTCTTTGAAAAAATTTTGTTATTTTATTATTTCTTGAAGTATGCTTTAATTAAAATTCTTAAACAACATTACACAAATTCATAATTTGATTGCGTAATCTGAGGAAAAACTTAACCAAAACTGTCGCTTTAACCTTCATAGATAATTTTCGAGACAATTTTTCTATTTCACTAAAAATCTGCTTAGCACACCGGATCTAAAAAAACTACTCTCAGTTATTTATAACCCATATCTTGTATTTAAGTTCATCCTCAATTTATGATAGGTTATGCTTACCACCTAAAATATTGCAAATTTTTCTTATGATCCTATGGTTCAAAATAAATTCCATCTTTGTGCCATCTTTTTCACATTTATATTACTGTTCCTAATTTAAGTAAAATTCGTCCCGACATCTATGACTGCTTCTGTTCTGAACTAAGCTCCATCCGACTCGTGAGAGGTAATGAGTGTAGTACGTGCGCCTACTGGTCTTGGCGTTAGGGTGCTATTTTTAGGCAGCACCCAAATGTATATTTGGATCCCTCGTGCGGCTCAAACATTGGCTATAACATCAACGGCCAATGACTTCTCATTTACAAACTTCGCTCATACAAAGCACTGTGCCTTTAAATAAAGAAACACGAAGACACCACACTTGAATTTTCGATTCAGTTGATAATAAAATCAACGCCAATCATAAAGATCTTTCTAGTATCAATTCAAGAGAGTCCATATAAATTTACAGAGCCCAGATAGTAGCATTAGGAATACTTTGAAATAATTTTTTTAATAACCACGGACACGTATATAATCAAGGATCCTGTCAACTTCCACTGACTATTATTGGGTATAGTTTGAAAACATTGGAAATCGGTAAAAAAATAAAAAAAAACTCTTAAAAAGTCTGGTCCTTTAATCCGCAGCCTCGGAGTGCCACCATCAGGTCACTGAGACCACATTCACTTCCTCTTGGCCACAACCCCTCGCGGCTGCAGAGCTTCTGAACTCCTTAACACCAGATCACTGACGCACATCGTCGCAATTAATTCCACCGGCAATCAGAAGTCAGGAGATGCTACAAAAATTACTGAAACTCCGCTAAATGCGTCGTTACTTTAGCACTTATAAACAGAAGTTGGCACTGAATTGTGCTTAAATTTCAAGGTCCCAAGAGCAGCTCGCAGGTGCGACACTACACCAGCCATGTCGCGTACTAACTCCGGCACCCGTGAGACGTCAGCGCTGTAGGGGGGAACGAGAACGCCTTCTTCTCGCGTGCCAACTATGTCAGCTGAACGTATTACTGCAGCCTATAACTTGCAAGCGTATATATACTGAGAAATCTGTTGCGTGTGTTTATTAACGCAATGATTCAGCCACGAGGATAAAATAGATGTAATTTTTTTCATCTCTGTTGTTCACGGTAGTTAAAGAAAGCCTATCAGAAAAAAAGATTTATGGATGAGATAAAGGTTAATTGTGCCAAGAACTACTATAAATGTTGTAGATAATATCTATGTTGCCGGCCTCAAACTTTCAGGAATTGTGTTGATGACGGCAGAATTGTAATCTTTTATTGAACACAAAATGACTGTACACTGTATACAGTGTAAAAAATGTCCCAGCATAAGTTATGCTTTCCTAATACAGTAGCCAAATTTGCATTGAAACTGCAAGTTAAGTCAGACGTCAGTTTAGCTTAAAATTACTTATCGACATTAGTTTCGTTCGAGGTTCACCTTTGAGCGTCGTTGGTTGAGAAAATGATACACATTTGGATTGGAATCTATATTTCATTTCGATCGTTATCACAATGCAACCTTACAACCATTATTTCTTCATAAAATATGTATTTAACCGTCAATGATGACATTTTATTAACTTGTATTTATAATCAAAATAGTCGTACACTTTATCATCAAAATAGTTGTACATTGTGATATTGAAGGTTCTGTGGAAAACTCTGGCATTTTAATTATTTCAATAACATATCAACCACGTGGTAATAAGGACATTAGGTGAATAACTTGTTAGGTGTTCAATTACACCAGCACCATGATATCTTTAACAATTTGTGTGCCAAATTTATAATTTAAGATCAGTCTTCCAGCCAGGGTATAGACTAGAGAATATATTATTTTCTAAGAAAGAGGAAAGCGCTTCACAGCCTTAAAGTAAAATGGAACACGAGCAACAAGTGCGATAATAATTCAGAATGCGCTCAGCCATTGAATAAGAATACAAAAGTGCAAAGCTAACTCCAAAATATACTCAAAAATAACAATTGAGAAAGCTGACTTAGCCAGCAAGCCAAGGGACTAATCACAAAAAGTATTATTGCTGCTGCAGCAATTTAGTTCCGGCTGCATGTGTAAGAATATCTCAATGTGGAAGGAATTGAAAGTTATGAACAGAAAAATGCGAGGTTTTGCGGCAGAATTATGCAGCTCACCAATAAATATTAATTGCTTTGTGGCGAGCAAGTTAGTAGAAAAGCTGGCAAAAATGTCCGTAGTACATTTGTCTTATAAGTAAAATTCTGAGTAAAGGAACCAGTAATCTTCGTAGAGTTTAATTTGAGGTTCCATGATCTAATAATTAATTCGAGGATCCAAGATTTTCAAATTAATCTCGTAGAGACTTTGAACATAGAATGTTGATCATTTTACATAGAAATAGTTAAGAATAAACCATTTAAGAACATCAGTCAATTTTCACTATCCTTGCAGTACATTTCCATCAATATTACTCAATCAACGCTGTAGAAAAATACACATGGAGTAAAGTTTCGGTCTAATTAAGATACTCTTTTTTTACAAGATCTGTATACAGCTGCGTTGTTGAATCCTGTCCTTCTTGACATCTTCGGTGTTAAATATATTATGTAAATAAGAATTCCCTTCCTATTTACCCTATTGAGCGTGATAGTCTAAGTTAAAAAAAATCAACTTCCTATTTTCCGGAGCAGATCTCCAAGCGTGAGATCTTGCTCCGAGAGTTTGGGCTGGTCAAAAGTGATGACCGGCGGTGGTAGAAACTTTTCTTCTGGCATCAACTTGACTTTTTCTCTCCACTTGAGCACTTCTGCTAGCGAGCGCTGCGCTATCTGTCATCCAAACATTACAATCTGAGCCGATCTTATGAAATGTAATTAAATTTATATGGAGTTTTTCAACCTAGTTCGCTATGGATGTATGTATTCATCAAACGTGTATATGATAGTAAATACATTAGACCTCGTGCATAACGGGAATGCTAAGATAGAAGGCAATTAACAGCATGATACCGCATCCTTTGGCATCAAAACGTTGGTTCTTGGTAACCTCAAATTGTAAGGCTGGCAATCTTGGTTGACTTTGTGCGCCCATATCATTTGAAAGGCCATGCAAAATAGTACGGAGGGCTTGATTTAAAAAGCTTTATTGTTATGAATTTTGTGCCAAAGGAAATTCAGTCGAAAATTTAAAAGAAGAAAAATAGTGTTCATTTTGGATCTCGGACTACGAAATCGTTTTAACAAAACCTTTTTATACCAGCAGAAATCCAGATTATTTCCAGACTTTGAAAAAAAATTTAATATACAACCTAAGTTTATATTGTTCGACTATTAACAAAGTAAAGTATATAAGGCAAAGATCTGACCGTATAAATTTTTCCCTCGAAGCAAGATGGCGCCTCGTGCTGCAGGCACATGCTGACGCTCTGGAGCAGCAGGAGCGGCTCGTGCAGCCTCTGCAGCACCTCCTGCCGCGTCAGCTGCCGCTGCACGAACGCCCTCTGCAGCAGCAGCAGCAGCGCCACCTGCAGCTCGTACTCCATTATGCCTGAACATAAATATTCGGAACACGATTCACAAATTAGTTACCAAATCGTCAATATCATGCCAGTTTTCGTTTTTTTATTCGAATTTGTATATCTAATTGAACATTTTCAAATAGAGATCCCCCCCCCAAAAAAAAAAGAATTATTAACAGGAATTCATATGTGAGCCTGCGAGCAGATTGTTAGGTAGAGCAGACTGTTGCTTGAAATAACTGGTCAATACTTACAGACGAGGCAAGAGACTTGTAATTAAATTGACTGGTCAAATTTAAAGACGAGACAGAAGACTGTTGTTTGATTAGTTTGAATCATATGTAATTCATATACCATATCATCATAATTAAAGGACGTCTGTTTATTGTAAAGCTTTACAGTGGAACTACAATCTGTGTGACTATGTGTGTTTGTGTGTGTGTTACACTGACCTCTGAGCCTCGATATTTCTGTTACGTTGACGTCGAGGACACTGACCTCTGAGCCTCGATATGCCAGGATCGAGCACGTCGAGCACCAGCAGCACGTCTCTGCAGCACTGCATCTTGCGGCCCAGCTGCCCAGCACTCAGATCCGTCATCTGAGTGCCCGCCACGCGACCGTACGTCTGGAGACAAAAACCTCGATCATTCACAGAAATGTGTGAGAAAATTGCGTTATATCTTGCTCAGGAAAATCATTTTAAAAACACTACTTCCGGGGACGCCATGAAAACGGACGGCATGTAGAAAAATAGGAAAAAGTTTCACGAAACTCATCGAAACCGACACTGTCTATGTAGCCTATTTAATATATAATCAACTATTTACACCTTAATATCCGGTTTTACCTATTATTTCTCAATATAATACCCCATTCCATTTAGCACTCTATGCGCAATTCTAACTAAGATAGATGAGCACGAGCACGTTATTACAAATGCACTAACTTGAGACAAACTACTTTTGAGTGCGATGATGTGGAAATGGTTCGGGTTAAGCAGGGATGAATATTTTTCTAGTAGCTGCTCTAATATTGTCGGATCATTTTCTCCGGCTAGCGCAATTTCGGCTCCAATGAGGCAAGTCAGACCATTCACTTCGCTGTTTGGTACCTGAGAAAACAAAGCGGTTTGTTTTATCACTCAAGATATGGTTTTAAATGGATAATAATATCACTTAATATAACTCAAGATATGGTTTTAGACAATCAAAATAACACGTTCTTCATCATCACGCAGTAACCAATTACGGTTTAGTGAAATTTCCAGTTCATTGTTTACCAAAGGATGCATTCGGCGGACTCGGTCCATATACTGTTACCACCTCCCAGCGGTCATCGCCGCCCCATACACAGCTTGTAAACGTCTGAGAGAACCTCAGTGCCGCTTGTGAAGTAGTGGTTGTATCGATGGGCAAATTTATCATCGATTTGGAGAACCAGTATTCAGCCCATGCACGCACCTCATTACCACACTCGGTGCTGCGGTAGTCAGCCACTGCACGCACCTCATTACCACACTCGGTGCAGCGGTATAGTCAGCCACTGCACGCACCTCATTACCACTCTCGGTGCAGCGGTAGTCAGCCACTGCACGCACCTCATTACCACACTCGGTGCAGTGGTAGTCAGCCACTGCACGCACCTCATTACCGCACTCGGTGCAGCGGTAGTCAGCTGTGTTGTTGGGGTGCAGTGGGTCCTTACAGAGCACGGGGCCACCGCATTGGGTGCACCTCAAGGCGCTGAAGTAAGTCCCCAGTTCGGTGGGGTCGCTGCAGCGCCGGCACACGCAGTCGAAGAACTTGCAGTAGCGCAGGTGCTTGCGGCGCTCCGTCGTGCCGGAAAGGAGTTGAGTATATATTCCTGAAATCAATGGTAACAAATAAAGTTATACAGGAAATTAAAATTTATCTAGTAGTCGCGGTAAAGTACAAATCCCGAGGAAAAGTTGCGTGAGTAAAATATGAGTGGCGCCATAGTAACTTGAAAATGACGACTAAAAAAGAGGAATTAGAAATAAGACATTCCGCATACAGTGGTATTTTTAACTTCCGTGCAATCACGAAGTAATTCCTGAATTACGTGAAACTATATAAAACAATAAGTTTATTTCGTAAACACACAACTTCAACGTGGTGTCCATGACATGTTCAAGTACGCATGAGCTGACCCGTAATTTGTTGTCCTTTGGCGATGTTCCTGGAGGCGACGACCACCATACTGTGGTCGTCCATGATGGTGTGCTGCGTGTTGCACGTACAGTCGTGAGACATCATCGCGCAGAGGGGGTACAGGCCCCGGACGCGTGACTCATCAGGAGCTCCTGCGGCAGGTAAGAGGTCGGGACATCACTTGACGCATAAGAGCTGAAGTAGGTGACAGAACATGAAGATATTACTTTAGTCAGTACAAGGATATTGAGATCCCACTCTAGTCAGTAAGCTGACATGAAGATTTACCCTAGACAGTAAAAGGACATGAAGATCTCACTCTAGTCAGTAAGCTGACATGACGATTTACTCTATATAGGCAGTAAAAGGANCCACACGCTGCATCACTCACCACACGCTGCATCACTCACCACACGCTGCATCACTCACCACACGCTGCATCACTCACCAGGAACATTAGAGCGCACTTCATGGCAGTTCACGTCGAGGATGCCACAGATTGTGTGCATGAGGGCGTCACTGTACTCAACTTTCGCTTGCTTCCTCAAAAAATCACATACGTTGATCTGCAGGACGGATTATACGATCATTTAATATCAGTATTCTTCTCTGCGCTACAATGAGGAATTTTTTCAAATAATATAGAATGTAAAATATATGAAACTATCGAAAATTAAAATCTAGAGCAACATACTGATAAGTCCCTTGGAGCAAGGATGCGTACAACACTCATTTGACACCAAAATTGATAACTATAGGTCAGATCCAAATCATAAGTAAAATGCATTACATCATCAAGTAACAGGATGGCAAGAACAAATATATTTGAACTATATGGATTTCAATGCCTACCTGTTCAATATCCCAGAAGTCAGATTTTTGCCTGATCTCATCGTGCGACTCCATCGCCTGCAGCGTACTCCATTTACTGGGGTCAGCTTCACGCAGCATCAAGCATCGCAGGGGCAAGATGCACTCATACACTGGATTTTTGTCGCCAAAATCAGCAAGATTTAATTTAAAATTGGCTTTGGAGAAGACCTTACACTCGTACGGATGGTAACCTTCAGTTTCACATTCGGGCCCGCAAAGAGTCCACGTGCATCTGAAATTATGAGTGTGGTAAGATTTCAGTAAGAATCTTCCTTATAAACAAAATAATAAAATTAAGGCGAAAATAACCATTTCAAAATAAAGTATAAAAGTGAATCTTTTATACTATATTCAGTTAAGTACAGTTAAGAAATAGAGAACTGAACCATCTCACTTGGAACAATCGTAATGTTCGTCTGTCAAGGTCTTGTAGCAGCCGAGACACAGCAGAGCAGAGGTTAGCTTGGGACCCGTTATGATGGGGTTGTCGCGGTAGATCACATCACCCATACTTAGGTTTGCAGTCGCTATTAGGCACCTAAATACGGCCAAAAACAATGGTGATCATATGGTATGGAAACAAACTACGTAGTCACCATTGTATAAGCACGAATTGGTTTCGACTTCGCTACACTTATAATTCCATACATCTAAGCTCCCATTTGTGAAAACAAGCAAAACTCCTCAATATACGCTTTGGACGATTCTTATCTGACAGTATTTAAATATGAAATTTCTGACCTGTTCATGAAAGCATACACCAAATTGTAACGAACGCTGAATGCACTACCAGGTAAATAAATTCTCAATGAACTTTTCCGCCAGATCTCTCCCTACCACCCCACTAACTACATGGACACCAACCTGCCGAAGGGCTCCTGGTACTCTAGGCGCCATCTTCTCTCCTCGCCAGACTGTAGTTCCTGCACGGCTCCTGGAGGAGCTTTGGTCTGCATAATAACAGGAGTTATGTCAGCAAAATGTGCGCAAATTTCTTATAATTTTGCGGTATCTGCAATTATTCTTTCTTTTCCGAAGCCACGATATCTTGAAAAATATTCGATACATCTTAATACAAAAATAACAGGTTAATACGTTCTGAATTTGGTATAGTCACAGAAAGTGGTGACATCAAATTTTCAATAATGTGATTGTTTACCTTAGAAGTACGAAAAATACTTACGGTAAAATCATTGCGGAAGCTTTTTATTTTCAAACATATGACCCGCCATTATCTCTAAAGTTTAGGTGCATACAAATTATTCGCTGCAAATACAGCTTAAAATATCTCATCCCAACATTATCAATAGCATGTAATTTTCTGATTTCTGAACTAGTATGTTTTCATTTAAGCCTTCTAATTATTTCACGCCGAAATTAGGGCTTGTGTGCACCGAGTTTCTGTTTGTTGGAACCTACCTTGTCGGGCAGCGCCGAGCCGCGGCCATCTCCTTCTTCCACCATCGCTCCTGTATGCGTTGCTAGCAACCTAGCTGCTTTCTCCTATTTAAACTTGACCGCAAACAGAAATTTCATAATCCTGCAAAAAGTATTCTGGATGGTTTGCTCTGAATTACTTTTGGGCTTTTAATTCATATTTTGATTTTTTAGAGCGTTCGGAGATATACTGTGTGTAGCATTTGTTATCAGGTTCGTTTCCATGCGAGGTTGATGTAGTACAGTATAGTGAAGTGTTCATTTATTACCTAAACAGTACGAGTACTTGTACTGTGTAATGGAGCAAAATGCCTGATTAACATGAAACTAGATTTTGAATGTCAAAATTAAATGCAAGCTAATTTATTGAATAGGCGCCAGAGCTGGTGAGCTTGTTGAATGCCACTAGGATTTTTCACATACTTCGAGTGCTGGGAAAATGCACATATCTTAACAAAACTCATAGATAGGCATTAACTCTTCTTTCTGTCGCAGCGACACTAATTAGGAGTGACGTACTCGTGTCATCGAGTATAACAATCATGAAAACGTATAAATTTTTAAAGCCTAAAATCAAGCCAGACAAAAATTTTACAAGTGATTTACACTCGACAGTAATTTTTCAACTTTGTATAAATTAAATAAGATAGTATAGAACGAAAACCTTATATAAATTTCGTCGGAGTAAAGACCTGAAGTTTGAAGAAATACTCTCATTTTATTTCTAATCAAACAAATGCTGTGAGAACAATAGTGACGAATCTTTTCATTTGAGAACAAATTCCAGAGTAGATATTCTGAAATTAGAATCACCGCAGCACGTATCACTTCTAGCCTAAAACTGAGAGAATCATCAAAAAAGATCTAGGAATGTTCGGTCATTGTACAAGCACGACAGAGCCCCTGCAATACTGAGCCCTCGCTAGCTCACTGAAGTTTGCGAGCTCACCGAAGATAGACCCAACAGCGAGCAACCTCAGCTTGACGTCGTGCCAAACGTTCCCTGCCGCAGCTCTTGCTGCTGGCGGGGGTGGCGTTCAAGCGACAAGCTTCGTATCGCATTGTTTTTAATTAAAATACCAATGCATATGGTAAATGTGGTACTTATGTAGCATGGTACATAACTACAGTAGCAAACATTTGTATGGTATACAGCTATAAGAGGGAATATTTGTGTCGTATTCAAACGCAGGCAGGAATATTTTAATGATGCGCATGCACATGTGGGAACATGTGATAGGCAAACAACCTCATGTGAAAGCATGAGGATAGTACACAACCGCATGCGGGAACATGTGGATGGAAAATAACCGTGAGTGGGAGCAATAGTAAACAAACGCATTACGGAACAAGTGAATGGTACTCAACCACATGTTGGAAAATTATAATAATACGCAGCTACATGCGGGAACGTTTGAATGGTATAGGGCTATATATCTAAACACGTAGATGGTACGCGACTACATGAACTTGTGATCATCACACAACCGCATGAAAGGAAAATATGAATGGTATAAAACTACATAACATGTTGGGACATATGCAATGCGAACATAGTATTTCATACGCTTGCCTGATGAAATGTAGGAGATATTTCTGAATCGAGATAATCTGCGAAGATTTATTTTAGTATTGACAACATTTCTCATATTTTGTGATCATGAATAAAAAAATGATTAATCTCATGTTCCATGTGAAAAAACCAAACCGGACGCTAGCGCCTTCATTAGTTCTATTTATGTAGTCAATCACGAAGCACTTGGACAGTTATGATTAAAAAAAGTAATATCCCATGTGATTTATGGGGTATTGCAGCTATTAAACACAACATCGTTATACCTCCAATATAAATTTCACACACGATGCGATTGCGCAATACACCAGATGCAAATTCAAAACTCTTCATACCCAGGTGAAATCTTAAATTTTTCATAAATACGAACTTTGCACTCAGCGCATCAAAGAAATGTGTTTAATATTAAAGTTCGATGGAAACTGAAAGTCCCGTATGGTGGAATGGAAATGCAACAACCTGCGGGTAAAAACAAGCGGGTAAACTAAAATAACGATGAACCTGAATAATGTTCTGCCCAGATCCAGGTGGGTCCATCACGTGTATTATTTGTATAACTGTTCTTGATCACAGTATTTGTTAAATTTGCTTCATGCCTCCATTTATTTTCCTACTTAGTTCCTCGTGAGGAAATTTTTTAGTGTTGAGGTAAATTTTCCATAAATTCATTGGTTCAAAATATGTCCAAAAACAATCACATTAGAGAAGTGTTCTGCCGGTGCAAACTTTCAGTATATTTTTTATATGGGTGATGGACTAATAGAAAATTAATATACCAAAAACAAAGGAAAAAAATAAACGAAAGATTGACAGAGGCCTTCGAATTCATCCGCTAAAGAGGAAAATAAAACATTGGCTACTAATGAGAACTCCAATTAATATCAATTTATTTCTCATACTACCATTACAATTTTTCCTTATAAATAAATAATGCTTACAAAAACATATTGCCCGAATAAATACGTCAATAAAATTTAGCTCAGAGTTGCCGGAAACCAACGAGCGGCTACCTTATGAAGCTCATACGTTCGCCGATGTACTTCAATTTAATGCTTTTTATACGAGTTTTCGGTAGCTCTTTCTCTGTATATATTATTATAAATTTCAAGTAATCCGTGTGATCTCAGCCATTAATTATGACGCTCTGTCTCACTGTGACGCAGGCGCTCTGTATATAGCAGAGCAGCGCACAGCTGCTGCGGCCTTGCCTTGCTATTAAAACTTGAACTGTATCAACTATAGGCGACGAACTCAACTATAGGCGACGAACTCAACTATAGGCGACGAACTCAACTATAGGCGACGAACTCAACTATAGGCGACGAACTCAACTATATATAGGCTGTCTCTTATACACATCTAGATGTGTATAAGAGACAGATTCATCACTCACTGAATCATATTACCGAACATTCATCACTCACTGAATCATATTACTAAACATTCATCACTCACTGAATCATATTACCGAGCATTCATCACTCACTGAATCATATTACCGAACATTCATCACTCACTGAATAATCTCCTTACGCGTCAGAAACGTCAGCTCTTCATACTCCTCCAAGACCTCTTCAGTGAGGCCTGAGCTGCCGTTGCCCATGTTCTCCTCCGCGTGTTTAATGAAGAGATGAAAGCGCCGCGTCACGCGCCTCTTAGTCACCAGACAACAGCTGTCCCTGCGCGTCAAAACTATGTGATGGTTTATGTACACAATAGTTTATTTAGAGTATGGCCGAATGTTTGTATAGAGTTTGGACGATAGTTAGCGAAGACGTCACATTACTGAGGTGGTTAAGGCAGCTCTAAGAGCTCATGAAGATTTTAAGTCGTTTAAACAACGCTGATATTCTTTTCGCGCTGTCTTTGTTTAGATGATTGACTAGCGTTTGACTAAAATTAAATATTTTGAAGGCAATGTTTTTGTTTTGGATACTGGGAAACTATTAAAATAATATTAATATTCATGTGTTCTCTAAGCTGTTACGTCGTACCATGACAACGATATGCTGAACATATTGATTAATCAAGCGTTAAGATATATGTCACTCATTAAACTAAACTTAAATCGCAACTCAATTGCCATTTCAATTTTAGTTGCCATTGACTTGAGTTATTCAGACAGGCTTGGTAACAAGCCATTGCTACAAGGTACCGTGTCATTGTTACGACGTACCGTGACATTGTTACGTCGTACCGTGACATTATTACGTCGTACCATGACATTGTTACGTCGTACCGTGACATTGTTACGTCGTAC